ATTTTTGCTGATGTCAGAGGCAGGAAGCTGACTCATGATGAATAACCTATCTGTTATCCTCCGACGGCAGCCTGCCCTTCGCAGCAAATCTATGCGAAGTTTACAAGAGGCGTCTTTCTCGATGTGAAACTTCCCGAGCTCCTAAGTCCCTCCGGGAGGTACACACAGACAGCTCGGGGTGAGGAACCGCGTGATGTCAACGGGAGTTGCTCTGGAAAAGGAATTGTGCCGCGATCCAGAAGCGCAGCTTGCACCTCGGTCGCCCGTCGAGTCCTCTCTCTCTCCTGCTGCACGTCTGAAATCGCCTCTCAAATGTGTCCGCGCGCTCGCTCGTTAAACTCTACGGGGCTGAGTTTCCCAGACACAAAAAGAATCTTTCGGCTGGCGGGTCCAGACGTAAAACCCATCGAGTTCAATGAGGCTTACTCCCAAGTGTAAGTGAGTGCAGCATCGCTGCTTTACTGCGCTAATGAGAGGCAAGGCGAAGTTCATGAAAACTTAATGCCGCGCGCCCCGAGCCCTTTCGGCGCCACGAGAGCTTTGCTTTGCGCTTACCACGCAACTTCCCCTGGAATTCATTTATTCCCAGGGAGGCAGGCGGAGCACTGCAACCCCCGAGCTCTACCCGGAGACGATAAAAATCAATCCCTCCATCCTTCCTCCCTTCCTTTTGCTCTCTCTCTCTCTCCCTCCCTCCCCCCTTCCCGTTCTCCCCTCCTCTCCTGCCTTGCTAAACTTCGTCCCCCGAGGGAAGGCGTCATTGTCATCAGAAGGGGCGGCAGCTTTCTTCTGTGCAAGGACCGAGGCGGTGGGATGCCTTGATGGGCGGGGCCGATTGTTCCTTCGGCGGTGTCTGCAGAAGGAGGAGGAGGAGGAGGGTCCTCTCGGGGCCGGGAAGGGCCAGTCCGAGGCGGGAGGGAGTCTGTCTGGAGTGGCCGAGGAAGGCGCAGGGTGTGCGGCCGGCAGGCGGGCGGGCGAGGCGAGGCGGTGAGTGCGAGGACCGAGGCGGTGGGATGCCTTGATGGGCGGGGCCGATTGTTCCTTCGGCGGTGTCTGCAGAAGGAGGAGGAGGAGGAGGGTCCTCTCGGGGCCGGGAAGGGCCAGTCCGAGGCGGGAGGGAGTCTGTCTGGAGTGGCCGAGGAAGGCGCAGGGTGTGCGGCCGGCAGGCGGGCGGGCGAGGCGAGGCGGTGAGTGCGCGGGCCGCTTTTATCCAGCGGCGGGCGAGGTGGGGGGAGAGCCCCCCCCATAGGGATCGGGTTACGGCCGGTGTTGTGGGGCAAGGAGAGGGCAGCCGGAGAGGGCGGGCGGTGCGCGCCAAGTCCGGAAACCAAACCGAAAGGGAGAACGTGAAACTTTGCCCTGGAGTTGGCGGCTTTTAAAAAAAACGTGGAGCGGCGTGAGCGATAAGCATCTCTCGAAAAGGAAAGCACTTCCAGGGGCGCTTCAATGTTCTCCCCTCGTTCCGGGGTCTTTTAATCTCAAGAAGGGACAGATTTATTTTTCCTTTCGGGAGACAAGATCTGTTCTGCTGGTTGCGTCCCGTGCGTCAACTCTTAATGTCTTTTTATTTAGCAATCTGTCGCGGTTTTGTTCTCCGGCTTGCCGCTTTTCTCGACGATTAGGGTCGGGGGTGGGGCTTAGATTGCCTGTAGCAAAACGAGGATCACACTCCCGTTTTGTTTTTGTTATTTTACAGCCTAGGGACTGTGGACTTCATGTAAACTCTTCGCTTCCGCTGAGAAGCAGTCACCCGAGCTTTGGTTAGGAACCTATTGTAGCTGGAGGGGGATTAGCCCTTGCCTTGAAACGGATTTTATGAAAACAGCCCTGTGCAGTTTCCTCTCCCCCTTTTATTATGTGATTTTAAAGTACTTCCATGTGCGGGGGTTCCCTCTTCTGCATGTTATCCCACTTGATTTTCACTTTATAACTATATCTGCTGAACAAAGCTTTTTGTGCTCCATTGTCCCTCACTCTGGGAAGCCCGAGCACAGCATCTGCGCATTCACAAATTGGATCTGGCTGGTGATGCTCTCTTCAACTTAGCATTAGGGAGTTTCTCTGCAGGAGGCGAACGCAAATGAAGGTGCAATTTTACTGCTTGTATTTGAACACCAGTACACTAGTTATTGTTATTGTCAGGAGAGTTCAAAACGGGAGACAGAACCTGTGCTTCAGATCCAGAATGCAAACATCGGTGTTTAACATGGGAATACATTCTAAAGGGGTTGTTTTAGTCTGTTGCAGCAACAAATACACACCCAGAGAGAAAGTTCTGTGTCACCTTCCTGACTAACAGATTTAGTTTGCCAAATCATTTTGGACTCATCAGATGCATGAACAGCTATTCTTCGTTGTCCCTCCTTTTTGCACCCCTGCCACTTCCACATAGGGTAACATACTGCAAACAACTTTGGGGCATGACAAATCCATTATTTTTTAAAGATATAACTAAGCTCTTCTTTGGTAAAATAACAATCAGAGTGTTTTTTAAAAAGGGTGCCATCTTCCCAAACCCTTATTTTTATCTAGTGACTGGACTATGATCTGGGAGAGTGGAGTTTATCACCATCAAGAACATAGGATAACTGGGTGATAGGCAGCTTTGTGCACTCTCTTGACGGCCCGTATCCCAGCAAGTGGCTCCCTTAAGTGGATACACAGAATTGCAACTGCTTTTTGCTCTTCTGATGCAGTGCCTGAAGAGGAACTGGGGGCCTTAAACAGTTTACACATTTCCAGGCAAAAAGTACAGTTAAGTGGAAGCCAGAGAGATTTGTGCATCTGCTAAAGACAGCTTCTAGTATCTTCTAGCGTGGCTTTTGGAGGGGGAAGGACTTGCAAGCAAGCTTGCAGGGTCTACTTTGTTTTTTTCCCTATAAACCTAATATCCACCATCTGGAGCAGAGTGCAAAAGAGTGGCTTAGAAAGAGGGTTGGATATACGTTTAGAATTAAAGGATCAGGGCGCATCTGTGTGTATATCAGCCATATTTATTTATTTATTTATTTACTTATTGTGCAAAAGAGTGGCTTAGAAAGAGGGTTGAATATACGTTTAGAATTAAAGGATCAGGGCACATCTGTGTGTATATCAGGCACATTTATTTATTTACTTACTTACTTACTTATTTGCATCACTGTCATTTCACAAAGAAAGAGGAACCTTAGGAACTGTGATTTACGCTTCCGGAGGAATTACGAAGGCCAAAATTCTCCCGAAAGAAAAAATTCATGCCACATATCGGCCTCAGAGCTCCGGCCAAGTGGAGCGCTTGAACCAAACTTTGAAATCCCACCTTCGCAAATTAATGCAGGAAACAGGTCTCGGCTGGGTGGATATCCTCCCGCAAGCCCTTCTCCGTATTCGGATTTTGCCCCGGGGAAAACTTGCCATCAGAACCCTTTTATTTTTGCAGGCTAATTTGGGGAGCAGTTTTGGCTAAGGGACAGAACTCATTGGTGATCAACTGCAAATTCCCCAGTGATTTATCAGTAGATCTTGTTGTGTCCTCTTCCCAGCCCTACTGGAGTTAGTGGTATCTCCCACTAAGAAAGACTGAAACATTGAACAGCAGCCTTTGCTGCTGGGGGATGTGCCTGGGGGATTGTGGGAATTTTACAATGCGATCTAAATTCAAAGATGCACCAGCTTGAGTGGGATTGTCAACACAGCTAACCCTGTGCTGGAACAACTGCCCTTGTGCTGAAACAATTGCCTTATGCTGGCTGATCTCAGATCTTTTGGCATAACTGATCTGCTAAAACAACTGCTGTGCTGGCTGGAAGAAGAGCCAGGAAAGGGGTGGAGAAGGCTGTGCTGTCCGGAAGAAGAGCCAGGAAAGGGGTGGAGAAGGAGAGGAGTGCAGGAGGGACTGGGTTTCACCAGATCGAAACCTAGCTCAGCCCAGTCTCACAGCCACTGTGCAGGTAAAGAGTTAGGCCAAGGTGGCAATTGTCCTAAGTCATTTCCAATGGGAGGGTGTGAGATTCAGCAGAGGTTTTAGTTGGCTTGGTGTCAGGTCCGGAAGAAGAGCCAGGAAAGGGGTGGAGAAGGAGAGGAGTGCAGGAGGGACTGGGTTTCACCAGATCGAAACCTAGCTCAGCCCAGTCTCACAGCCACTGTGCAGGTAAAGAGTTAGGCCAAGGTGGCAATTGTCCTAAGTCATTTCCAATGGGAGGGTGTGAGATTCAGCAGAGGTTTTAGTTGGCTTGGTGTCAGGTCAGTTGCCCCTTGACGATCGTGGCTATTTAGGATTGTCTCCTAAATCCAATTTATCAGTAGAGAACCAAGTTCTGGAAGGCCACTTTGCAAAGTAGATGCATTACATATATCTAGTGGTGTTGAGCAACTCCCCTGTGTTTTCCTCCAGTCTCGAGCTTTGACTTTCCACAGCAAGAGCAACAAAAATAGTTACCTGCAAAATGTGGTAAGGTGGACAGTTGTACGGTTCTAGCTATTTTTTTTTATTATGCAACCTCATCTGATCCCTCCAGTCTTGTTTCTGGTTTTGGTACACCAAGTCAGAAACAAGACCATGTTGCTTCAGTAGTCCCACTTTAGAAATCAATCAAGAGGCCTTTAGCCTCTTAGCACCATGCTTCAAAGCAGATCTCCACATGTTGATACACTGTTTTTTTCCATTCGGAGAGCACACAGGTTTTTGAATTGCTCCGAATGTATTTGGTGGCCACTCTGCGAAAATAATGCTGTATAAATTTCCTGGCTGCTAACCTGTGAGATTCTTTCACGAACTGCCCTCCCAGGTTTAGTGGTTAGTGGCTCCTTGTGTAGAGAGAAACTGTCCATTGCTTCAAACCAAAGTGTTCTCAGTGGACTAAGTACACCTGTCTATGTTCTCCATTTTCTATTGCTCCAGGACCAGTGGAAGACTCGTTGAAACTAGTGTCTGGTGGTTAGGGTCATATGAATGGAGCTTAAGCAATTGAAATTGAATCCATACAGAGTAAAGTAATGATGTTCAGGAATTTTTACACAGGGATAGAGATAATTCTAGTGGATGGGGTGTTTTCCTACTTGTTCATGAGTAATCTGGATTTATTGGTATCAAAGTTTGTGGATGATGCTAGATTATTCAGGTTGGTGAAAAGTATGACTGCATTGCTTTTAGATCCAATACACTCTGGTTATAACCAGACAACAAAAAGGCAATTATGAGCCTGCTTGGGGGTGAAGATCATTAGGACAGGCCTTTCTCTTCCCAGGTGGGTTTGGTGGGGACACAGAAGGTCTTCTCATTGCTGCTCCCAGACTTTAAAACGCCTTCCCACAGGAGACCAGGCTGGCCTCATCTTTATTATCATTCTGCAAGCAGGCAAAGACCTTTCTCTTCAGGCAAGCTTTCCTTCAGTTAGTGACTGCCAAGTGGAGCTTTTAAACAGATTGTTATACATTACTGCATTGAAAGTGTTTTGGTGTGTGTTTTTTGCTTTTGTTTACAGTTCCTCAGAGTAGAATTTGTTTGATCCTTCTTAGTATTAGTATACTCTTTTACCTTAAAATACTGTCTTGTATTGATGTAAACAGCTCTGAGTTCTTTTTAAGAGGAAAAGTGGGGTTGAATGAATGAATGAATGAATGAATAAGAGGAAAGGTGGGGTTGAATGAATGATTGAATGAATGAATGAATGAATGAATGAATGAATGAATGAATGAATGAGATTTGGCATAGGCAAGTTAACTTTGTCTTCACATATATTCTGTCAGGAGATGAACTGCTTATGATGACTGAAGAAAGAGATCTTGAGGTTATGATGAACAAATTCACCAAAAATGTTTATTTAATACGTGGTGGTGGGGTTGAATGAATGATTGAATGAATGAATGAATGAATGAATGAATGAATGAATGAATGAATGAGATTTGGCATAGGCAAGTTAACTTTGTCTTCACATATATTCTGTCAGGAGATGAACTGCTTATGATGACTGAAGAAAGAGATCTTGAGGTTATGATGAACAAATTCA